CGCTCCGACTGGGAGTCTTCATTCCGCATGACCTGCGATCTACACTGCGGTACGGATAAACTACCCTCGGCGTCATCGGTTGTGTAGGCAAAGCACCTCTCGCAGAGAGGAATTCCCGGAAATGGTTATGCATTCTGCTCATGTCATTGCACTTTTAGTGTTATCTCTCATCCCGGTTTGGAGGCGGTGGGTAGACAGACATCCCTTGCCCCTTACGCTACTAGTTTTGGCCCGGGACTTGTGCCTGGCCTTCGCTTTGACCACCGTCAACTATGCTATCGGAGGCATCTGAGTCAGTTACCCTTAAGTTAGTTAAAGCGTTTGGTAGGACTGGCAACTCTGCGACATTGTTTCAGACACCAGTGGATGGACTGATAGCATTGGTGCCGTCCTGCAACATCTATGGATTTCAGAAGCAAATCCACTTGGTGTTGTGCTCGACCAAACAGGCACACTCGGATAACACCTTTTAAACATCTGCCAACCTTGATGCCCGTTCCGTGAACTTAACACCCGCGCAGCAAGTAGCCTTAGCCTTTGAGCGCAGCGATAGGTACGGCTGGAAAGCAAGTTCGGGACGAGTGATACCATCTTGTATTCGTCCGCACGGAGGGCGTACGGCTTCTGTGCTACCCGCGCCAGAAAGCGCTACGCTACATACCACCAAGTGAAGCCGCGACTAACGATGAACAGCAGGACTTTCTGCAAGCAGCAATAGTCTCATCAAACCATGACCCCGTGGACCTATCAGCCCCGGTGCCCATCAAGACAACTATGTTAACATAGAAAAACATCATTTTAACCTGTATACAACAGTAAATGGATAGCAGTAACATGGTAAAAGTGGCTAAACTTTGGGAACAACCGGAAAAGTTACCAGAAAACATCCATGGAACGCTTTGATTTAGCGGGGCCCGGGTAGTGATTCCAGAAGACTAATAGTTGCTCGGAAACTTTCCTTTGTACAGAAAAGTTTTCCTATTAGTCTAGCTGTAAAAGCGTCACCGATGAGCGCTGCTGGTTAAAAGAAAGCAAACTGCACAACCCATAAGGTACTTTCGCGTTGTGGTCGAAAGGAGCACCAAGCAAAAGGGTGAGCTTCAACACAACAGCTCGCGTTTAACAACCAGTTCAAACACCCTTACCGGTCGTCTAAGTCTACCATCGAATAGCGATTGTTTAGAATTTTACACAGGCTGCCCAGGGAATTTCCAGGCTGGTGCAACTTCCAATGCCAATTTTCGCGATCTGCTGGCCAGTCGAACAACCTCCATGTTGTATGACCTGGGTGGTTCGGGTTCGCCCCGTTCCAGCAAATAGTTCGGTGGCAGTGATCCAGGACGTCCTGGATCTTCGCCTGGCAAGCGTTCTCCTTATAAAAAGACACGCACGTCTGCGTAACAACACTGTGACAAAACGGTTGTGACCCGCCACCAACTAAAGTCACCACCTTTCTTATCCGGACAACGATTGCAAGCACACAGACATCAAGCATCTATTAGCACTGCTGACACATTCAAACACGACTAAAAGTGCAGGAAAACATCTGCAAATACTGCTAACACAGCTATACACGCTTATATGCACAAATACCCACATTCTTTTATCAACAAATGTGATAACCGCATTGTTCCATTGACATTAACTGACCACCTTATGGTACGCTTAACAAGCTCATGCTTGTGCAGACGTGCCTCGTTTGGTCCAAAATCAACCTATTATGTATTTATTCAAGCTGTCTTGAATCAGAGCACAATTTAGCTCCAGCTAAATTTCATTTCAATTTCTTATTTAAACACTGCGTTGCGCAATGTTGCAGTGAAAACTCGATTTGTATGGCGCTACTCCTAGTTGAATAGCTGCGCCAGACCTCGTACTTGCATCCGGCTTTTTGTTCTGGTGATCAGCAGGCTAACGATCACGATGATGTTGAAAAAGCTGAGCACTTGGCTAGGCAGTCCGCCTCGGTTTACGCGAAAACAACACCACCTGGTAACTGAGCCCTATCCACAGTTCAATCTTTGTTGGCACACATAGCTTGTAACACTGATATTGTGATGAAATTTCTTCTTGATTTAGATCCGTACAGCACATCCGGCCCTGATGGATTGTATCCTATGTTCCTCAGTACTTTGGTCGAGTATATTGCTTTGCCTATGTGTTAGGTTTTACTTCGCACATTAAAAGCTGGCCGCCTTCCGCCAGTTTGGAAAAGGCATCGTCAAACCCACCTATAAAGTAGGAAGTAGAAATAATCCAGCCAAGGATAGTCCAATCGGTTTGACATCCAAGTTATGGAACGATTCTAGAACAAACTACCAACGTCCTCTTGAGGGGCAGTACATCATTTTCTTATACCCAGCATGGGTTCCGAAAAGCACGCCTCAGTACCTCGAACCAGCTCATTGCTAATGAGACCTAGGCAAGGTCGTAAGCCTCCAGCAAAAGCTGGTTGTTGTGTTTGTTGACTTCAATAACGCGTTCAACAACCACTACTGCTTAATCTCCGAGGCTTCGGTGTTCCTGGGAACCACCCATCTTGCACCTCACACTTTCTAAACTATTGCATGATGAAATTGAAGACAGCTGACACAGGTTTCGTCCTAGTTCTCAAGACGCTTGGGTTTCTACAAGTCTCTGTCCTCGGTCCTGTATTTTTAATAGTTGTTAATGACATACCTCCACACTTCAAGAATTTGCTAACCTAAATAAATAAATAAATAAAGTTTTTATTCTCGACAAGGCAAGGCGCGCCTTTACAGGCATGATCATTATGACAACAATGCGTGGTCTAGAATGTACAGGAATACGTTATGTTGGCCGTACCAGTGTATGTTTATGTAGGGGGTATGTAACTATGTAACTGTGTGTGTGCGGGTGTGTCACTGTGAGGCTCCCGTTTGTAACTGTGCTGCTCTAACTTTGACTCTCATATCGTCGGCAATGCTCGAGTAGAAGATGGATGTCCGTGTGTTGGAAAGGATTATTCGGGTACCCACGGGGCAGTGACTATATTTTGTGGCGAGTCACATCCGCCACGTCACAGTGTTGTTAAGCAGACATTTGTTGCTTTTTATAGGGAGAACGCTTGCCAGGCGAAAACCCACCACGTCCTGGAACACTGCCGTCGAACTATTTGCTGGAACGGGTCAAACCCGAACCACCCAGCTGGCACCACGAGGAGGTTGTTCGGCTAGCCAGCCTATTCGGCTACGCTGACAACCCCAAGCCGTGGATGGAAGTATGCAGCCTAGAAGACGCTGACGTATTATAATCCACCCTCGTTCCACACCTGGATTGGTGGATTAAGTGGCAGTTGCCAGTAAATCGTAATAAATAAATAAATAAACGTTTATTCTCGACAAGG